TTTAATGCTGTGCAATCTTCATATAGTTTTGAAACACACAAATATAGCTATAACAATTAACAACAGAAATTGAATGCATGACTGGCAGCTTTAAGAATAGCATTTAAATCATATTTTATTTGTTCCTACATTAACAATATATTTTCTCTTTATAAAAGTGGTTTTCTTGCCCAAAGTCAGAGGTCAGGACTCAGCTACACAACAGGGACCCTGGTGGTCAGTGTTTTCAAGGACATTTCCATAGGACTTAATACTTCCTGGTACAAGTAATTGAACATGGCTTTTATGTTACATTATTTAAAATATATTTTAAAAAAATTAACCAACATTGAAATATTTATGACACTTCCAGTCGCTGCTTCTCCCTGAAGGGTACTCTGCTTTTCACATGGTTGTATTAAGAGCGCTTCTTATACCGTACATTCAGGACTGATTTCACAGGGGTACAAAAGCATGCATCGCACCCTCAGTTGAAACTTGAATAATAATTGTGTGGTTATTTGCTTGTGAGTGGTGAGTGGGGAATCTTGCTGAGTATACTAGCAGAAATGAATCCTCCACACCTGCAGACACTGAGGTGGATCATGGAGATAACAGTAATGTCCCTCCCTCCTGTCGGCCTCATCTCTGGACCTCGGTAAAGATCCGCCTGAGCAGGTGTGTTTACCAGGTCCATCTTTTCTTCAGCTGTGTTACAGCAGAATCCCTTCATCAGTGATCACACACTGAACCTATAATACACTATTTTCGCTGCTGTTATTTTATGTATAATCCATCCATAAATCAAGTTAATTTCTTCTTTTATAAATAAAGGTGCATTATAAATTGTAGACTCACACATAAACAACATAGTAGTGCCTATAATCTCTCTCGTTACACTATAAACTGCATATGCTTCTTTGGCTTTGATTATTTGATTACAACAAATTTTAAATTTCACAACAAACATTCGATTTTTGTTATTATTACCACGGACAGACATATAGTGTTGTGTATTTGTATGTTCTGTCAAGTAATCACTAAAGCAGCTATAGAAGTATAACAATTTTTTTGGTGTACGACAATTGCTTTTTGATGACACAAGTGTTCACACTGGTCCAGCCCAACTAATTTCAAATACACCAAAAGTTGTCGATTCTAATGAAATCTCTTCAGATGTGTAACAGTCTGTATGTCTTCTGACCACTTAGCTACATAGTTACTGACACATACGTAACCATAGGTTGGTGATGTTTTAACACACAAATCCTGATCACTTACAAATATCATTGGAGACAGTCTTTTCCTAAAGATCTGGTTTAAGAAACATATTAAATCTAATTACCCTGAAGTCTGAACACAGCCTTTGTTCTGCAACTGGGTCTGTGAATATCTTTCTAACAATAATTAAGATCAGACAAACTCTCACATTTTACACTGTTCAAGATGGAATTTAATTGCCCTCTTGTTTGTATTATCTGGAGAATGTAATGAGTACATTTTGGGTTGGCGGGTTGTAGAGAGTTCTCCACCAGCGTGGCATTTAGCTTGACTTTTAGCTCTTTAATTTATTAGGA